TTGTGTTATGTCATGACATAATATCGCATGTGACGATGTCTGCTCGGCGATGCAGTACGCTATGATATGCACTGCCGTGCCATGAGACATACGATGTGCCGCGTTGTGATCTGCTATACTGAAAAGTACAAGTGAACCCCACCAGCCCTTTAGGGCGTGAGTGGTCTAAAGAGCCTGTTCTGCTAAACCCCCTTCTTCCCCTTCGGGGAGGGGGTTCCCCCCCCTACCCCCCCCCCCTCTGGGCCTGGAGGGAGGGTGCCGCGAGGGGTCAGGGCGCCCAAGATGGCCCAAGATGGCTCCCAGAGGGCCTCAGAGAGTCCAAGATGACCTCCAAGATCGTGCAAGATAGCCCAATATGGTTCAAGATGGCTATCAATATGCACCCAAGAGCTCTCAATACCGCCCCAGGACGGCCCCAAGTGCCCTCGGAGCTCCCCAAGGAAGCCCTCAAGAGACCTCCAGAACCATCAAAAACTTCGACCACGCACCGAAACACTTTTTACCGAAAAGTGCGCGCTTGCGCGTTTTAGCCGCCGCGGGGGGGTGAAAAACCCTGGGCCATAGGAGCCTCGGCCGAAAACTCCACACTCTACACCAATGGCCCAAAGATGCAAAATCGGGTCCTGCAGCTCGGGCGAGAGAGGTGAGTTATGTTTCTATGGTTTTGGAAGGGCTTTCGGATTCTCACCTTTTGAAGCCAAGAACTGCCCAAAACAGCCCAAGAGACTCCAAAAATCATCCCAAGACGGCCCGCTGCGAGAGCGTCCTCCTCATCCTCCTCCTCCTCCTCCTCCTCCCCCTCCTCCCCCTCTCCTCCGAGAAGCCACGCGACCAGGATCCCCGAAAACCCGAACCCCCTGGAACTTTGAAAATTTCGATTTTTTCGAAAATTTCGAAAATTCCAAACACTTTGAAAATTTCGAAAATTTCAAAAATTTTGTAATTTTCAAAATTCCAATTGGTCGGGGAATCCGAGAAGCCACGCGACCAGGATCCCAGAAAACCCGAACCCCTGGAAGTTTGAAAATTTCGCTTTTTTCGAAAATTTCGAAAATTCCAAACACTTTGAAAATTTCGAAAATTTCGAAAATTTCGAAATTTTCAAAATTCCCAGGGGCCGGGGAATCCGAAACCCAGGCAACCAGGAATTCGAAAACCGCGCAATCCAGGCAACCAGGAATTCGAAAACCGCGCAATCCAGGCAACCAGGAATCCAAAACCCAGGCAACCAGGAGGAGGAGGAGGAAGAGAAGGAGAGAGGATGGATATGAAGTTGGATACCGGTATCCCCCCTCGTCGCCCATACCCCTCCCTGCCTCCCTCCCTCCCTCCCTCCCTCCCTCCCTCCCTCCCTCCTCCTCCCCCCGCCCCTCCCCCCTCCCCCCTCCCCCCCTCCCTCCCTCCCTCCCTCCCTCCCTCCCTGCCTCCCCTCCCTACCCTCCCTCCCTCCTCCTCCCTCCTCCCTCCCTTCCCTCCCTCCCTCCCTCCCTCCCTCAATCCCCCCCTCCTCCCCCCCCCCCCCCCCCCCCCATCCCTCCCGCCCTCCCTCCCCCCCTCCCCCATACCTCCCCCCCCCGCCCTCCCTCCCTCCCTGCCCCTCCCTCCCTCCCTCCTCCCTCCTTCCCCCTCCCTCCCTCCCTCCCTCCCTCCTCCCTCCATCTCCTCCTTCCTCATCCTCCTCCTCCTCCGCCTCCTCCTCTCCCTCCTCCTCCTCCGCCTTCCTCCTCCTCCTCCTCCTCCTCCTCCTCCTCCTCCATCCCTCTCCTGCCTCCTCCTACTATCCTCTCCATCCTCTCTCCCTCCCTCCCCTCCCCCCCTCATCCTTCCCTCCTTCCTCCCGACTCCTCCCTCCTCCCTCCTCCTACTCCCTCCTCTCCTTCCTCCTCCTCCCTCCTCCTCCTCCTCATCCCGCCTCCGCCTCCGCCTCCGCCTCCGCCTCCCTCGCCTCCGCCTCCTCCCCTCCTCCTCCTCCTCCCCTCCTCCCCCCCCCCCCCGTCCTCCTCCTCCTCCTCCTCCTCCTCCTCCTCCTCCTCCTCCTCCCCTGGGAGCGCTGCGGAGAAGCTGCAGAGAACCGACGCGCACGCCCGAGACTCCCTGGCGGAGGTCGCCCCCGCAACATGGCGCAGAGGTCGCTGGCGCCCACGCACGCGCCGCGAGCCTCTGCCGTCGGGGCGGCCCGTCGGACCGCCAGCGCCGCTGGGCGATCGACAGTTCATCCATCGCGCGCCCACATCTGAAGGGGCCCACAAACATACAAATTCGCCAGCCCAACGGGCCAGAGGCGTGCTAAGATCTCTGGTGACTACTTAACAATATATTTCTAGTTCGCGCGCGCGGGGCGGCCCCTGACGAAAAGTACCCCGGCCGATCCCCGGCCGGGTCCCGGGCGATCCCCAGGGGGGAGGCTATTTTTCGCCACCCCTCACGAGGATCGTGGCCTCCGAGGGGGTGGCTGCAATCGACTACCCCCCCTCCCGCCCCAAGGGGCCAAGAGCCCCCTAAGAGGCCCCAGGGTAGCCCAAGACGCCGCCAAGGGGCCCCAAGACGCTCCCAAGAAGCCCCCAAGAGGCCCCCAAGACGGCCCCGAGAGGCCCCAAACAGCGCTCCAGGGCCGGCGGAAGGAGCGAAGCGAGAATATAGATATGCACAGATCCCAGGATCTCCCCAGATTTTCTGATGCTTTCTGGGCTTTTGTCTTCCCCCCCACTTCCCATGACTTCCCATATTCTCCTAGGAATCGACGGCTAATTGTGTCTGTGTGTTTTTTCCCCTCCTGAACATCGGCGGCCTCCGGCGCGGGCGCGGCAGCATCGGGCGCCGTCGTCGGCTCTCGGCGGCTTGCCCGCCTCGCAGGGCTCTCCAGCAGCTGCGCCTCGCCGAGAGCGCTCCTAGGATCCCAGGTCGAACCCGAACGGCCGCCCGAGAGCCTCCCAAACCGCCAGAGTTGTGCCGTGATGGTGGTGCCGAACCGCCCCAGAGAGCGCCGTGATGGTGATGGTGATGGTGATGGTGATGGTGATGGTGATGATGATGATGATGATGATGATGATGATGATGATGATGATGATGATGATGATGATGATGATGATGATGATGGTGATGGTGATGGTGATGGTGATGGTGATGATGATGATGATGGTGATGATGATGATGGTGATGATGATGATGGTGATGATGATGCTGATGATGATGCTGATGATGATGCTGATAATGATGAAGGTGATGATGATGCTGATGATGATGATGGTGGTGGTGGTGATGGTGATGATGATGCTGATGATGATGATGGTGGTGGTGATGATGATGACGATGATGATGCTGATGATGATGATGGTGGTGATGATGATGAGGATGAGGATGAGGATGAGGAGGATGCTGATGGTACTGATGGCGATGGTCGTGATGGTGATGATGATTATGATGGTGATGATGGCGGTGATGATACTGACAGTGATGATGATGCCAATGGTGATGACAATACAGATGGTGATGATGATAGTGATGCTTATGATGGTGGTGGTGAAGTGATGTTGATGGTGACGATGATGATGATGATGATGATGATGATGATGATGATGATGATGATGATGATGATGGAGATGGTGATGGTGATGGTGATGGTGATGGTGATGATGATGGTGATTGTGATGTTGTTGCTGCTGGTGATGATGTTGATGATGATGATGATGGCGATGATGATGGTGATAATGATGATGATGATGTCTATAATGATTATGGTGGTGATGGTGATGGTGATGGTGATGATGAGAATGATGATGATGACGATGACCATGGCGATGATGATGACGATGATGATGATTATGATGATGACGGTAACCATGACGATGACGACGATGACGAGAACGATGAATGTTGAGACCGTCCCGCAATACTCGGGGGGCCTGTTGAGGCCAACCAAGACTACTCGGGGGGGCATGTTGAGGCCAGCCGGGACTAACTGGGGGGGATGCCTGTGCGCAACCCGACGCCTTACTAACACCAACACCTGCAATAAGAAAAAAACTATACAACAAACAAACTTTCAGAGCTTCGTGCGGATTTCTTGGATCGGCGCTGGATTCCCCCTCCTTGGTGCGCGGAGCGCGCTAAGGGCGGCAACAGAGGCGCCGCCAGGGGAGCGCCGATCCAAGAAATCCGGGCGAAGCGCCGAGAGATTATGGTGGTGATGATGATGGTGATGATGATGGTGATGGTGATGGTGATGATGATAATGATGATGATGATGATGATGATGACGATGATGATGATGATGATGATGACGATGATGATGATGATGACGATGATGATGATGATGACGATGATGATGATGATGATGACGATGATGATGATGATGATGATGATGATGATGATGATGATGATGATGATGATGATGTGATGATGATGATGATGAAGATGATGATGATGGGGCAGGATTGGGCAGATAGGGATGGGGCGCACAAGGGCATGCGCATACCGGGACTGTGTGTCCTGTTCGGAGGCGCGCGTCCGGCCCGCGGCCCAGCAGGGGCCTCCGGGGGCAAAAACATGTACACGACACACCAAGAAGCAGACAGGCAGTCATAAAGGGGCCCCAGGACACACAAATAGATACACACAAGTAAAAATATTCCCCATATTTTCCCATATTTTCTGGGGTTTTGTCTTCCCCCCACTTCCCATATTTTCCCATATCTTCCTGGGAGTCGACGATTAGTTGTGTCTGTGTGATTCTTTCCCTCCTGAGACAAGACTGACAAAGCAACAAAGCAGGCGAAAGTTCCTGCCGTCCGGCCCGAGAATGAGTATCGCTTCACCGATTCCCATCCCCAGCGGCGTGGCCCGCTGGCCGATGTACCCCCCTAGATGGAGATACAGGTCGTCCCCTTCGGTTTTCGAAGGGTATGTCCCCAACTGGGGTGGTAATCTGGTGGCGGTCTCGAAGGGGATGGGGATGGGGGGTCGGATAGACGATACCGAGAGAAGAGGGCTCGCGGCGTCGTCTTGGCCTTCAGAGTCAGGATCTCCTGGCCCAGCTCGCGCATGGTCGCCTTCGCCTCGGCGATGGCCGCCGCCTCCGGCGGCGTGGACTCGCCCCCTCGTGCCAGGGGAGGAGGGCCAGGACTGCGGGGGCCCAAGAATATCGGTTTTTTTTGTCTTCCCCCCACTTCCCATATTTTCCCCTCTATTTTCCCCCATTCTCCTGGGGATCGACGATGAAGTGTGTCTGTGAGTGGTTGTCCCCTCCTGGCACTGTTTCCGTACCCAGTTCGATCGTCCCGAAGCCTTCGGGAGCGGCCAAGAGGGGGGTGTCCAAGAGAGGGGGATGCAACTCATGGCCGGCGGCATGTGCGCGGCCCAGCGAGGGGGGACCAGGGACGTAATGAAACAGGAAGAGGCGCCCTGAAATCTGGGGAGATATCATGGCTCCCGCCATGACATCCAGCCCCCCCTAGTCATCACCCCCCTCTTTGCCGCCCCCGAGAATATCGGGGGCGCGCAAAAACATGCACCGGGGGAGGTGCCCTCTCCAAAATGCGGCCGGCGCCGCCTCGTTCGGCGGCAGACACCCGCGATCTGCCATGAAAACGGGACCCGTCGCTAATCCACGCCCCCCCTGGATCCAACTTTGCCATCGCCTGAGAATATGCAGCCCACCCGTATAATCGGGACGCACGGGGGAAGGCTTCTCCGAAGGAGGCTGCATCTCAGAAGGCGCCGGCCTCACGTCTACGGATATAAGGCCCACGCCTGCCAACAACATAGGGGCGTTTCTGGAAAGCCTCCCCCCTCCCCCGCCTTCCCCCTCCCCACTTCCCTCCACCCGATGAGGATGCAAGTGCCTTAGAAGGCCATGTCGACACCCTGCGAGCGGGGCGCGGCCAAGGATGGGCCGAGTGGGATGGATGCAGCAGGCCTCCAAGAGGCCCACGTCGAGCCCCAGGAGGCCCCCGAGAGACCCCCGAGAGGCCCCCAAGGCACCCTACAACCGCCTCCGAGAGGCTTCCGAGAGGCCTCCCAAGAGATCCCCACCGTCATCCAAGAGTCATCAGGCCTCCAACCAAGGCACGGTGGCGGGATGGGCCGCAGTCCGGTAGACCCGCCGCCCCCTGCCGATTCATCGCAGGGGTGCCTGGCGCGCTGAGCGTCTGGTTGTTTTTTGGTTCTTTTGAAAACTCCCCCCTGGGGCTTCGGCCCAGCGCGCCGGCCACCCGAAGCCCGGGAGAATGTTCACTCCAATGGTCTTCAGCTCCAACCGGGCCAGGCGAAAGGGGGGGGGTGAGAATCAGCTCACGTAGCTGATTTTCCTGGCGCCTCCCGGCGCCGGAGGCGGTTATGTATCGAGGAATGGGCCCCTCCGTGGGGCCGAAACCAGCTGCATGCAGCAGATTTCGTACCCCCCCCTTTCCCAATCCCCCCCTTTCGTCCAGCCCGATCCAAGATGGCCGCAAGATGGCCTCCAAGACAGAGGAAACGCCTCCAGCACGGCCAATATGGCCCCAAGAGAGCCCAAAACAGACCCAAGATGGCCTCCAAGACGGTTCCAAGATGCCTCCAAGACCGCGAAAGATGGTCCAAGAGAGGCCAAGACGCCCCAGAAGCGCCTAAGAGGCACCGAAGACGGCCCGGCCCAAGAGGCCTCCAAGAGATCCTCCAGGAAGGGCCGAAAAGGCTTAAATTATTAATTGGCTGTTTCATGGAATCTGGCAGTTGCTTCATAAAGGCCTTCTGACGGCCCGAGACGGCCCAAGAGGCCCGAAAGATCGCCCCCAGAGCGCCCAAAAATCCTCCAAGATGGCCCGTAAGACGGCCAAAGAGGCTCCCAAGACGGCCCGAAGAGGGCCCAAGACGGACCAAGAGGCCTCCCAGAAGCTCAAGATGGCCTCCAAGACGACCCTGAAGGGACCCAAGACGGCCCAGAGAGGCCCACAAGATGGTTTTCAGACGGCGTCAGACGGGCCACGAATGCCGAAAAACGGCAAAAGAGGCCCCCAAGAAGCCTCGAAGGACAAGGAAGGAAGGAGGACGAAGAACAGAGGAGGGCGGCAGCCAGAAAAGGAAGGGTAAGGATGGAAGAGAAGGAGGGAGCGAAGCGAAGCGAAACGCGCAGATCCGCGGGAGCGGAGTCAGCGCGGCAGGGCCAGGGACCTTACACCGTGGTGTCGGCATTCACCTGGCTCGATGAGGCTCGCAACGAAAACGTCGCGTGTGCGATAGATTATCCTTCCAACCTGTGGCGCGAGTAAGTGTCGCATGGAGGGACAGGGAGAGGGAAGACAACGACGACGAGGCAAACGACGTCAGGGCCTAGCAACGCCAACGACGACAACAACGACGCCAGCGCTGCCAAGGACGCCGGCGATGGCGACGACAACGATGGGGACGGCGACGACGAGGCCGAGACCAACGAAGGCAACCACGAGGGAGGCCGACGACGAGGCCACCATCCACGACGGCGGCGACTAGGAAGGCCTTCTTGGCAGTGATCGTCTCGCACCAACACGCATACTTGTCGTACGTCTTCTGCTCCCTCTTCTCGTCGGACTCCAGGCTAGCCTCCAGCTCCTGGCGACAGGGAGACAACATGTCACCGGCGCCGTCGTCCTCCTCCTCCTTCTCCTCCTCCTCCTCCTCCTCCTCCTCCTCCTCCTCCTCCTCCCCCCTCCTCCTCCCTCCTCCTCCTCCTCCTCCTCCTCCTCTCCTCCTCCTCCTCTTCCTCCTCCTCCTCCTCCTCCTCCTCCTCCTCTTCCGCCTCCTCCTCCTCCTCCTCACCCTCCTCCTCCTCCGCCTCCTCCTTGCGTTTTCTTGACGCAAGGCATCGGTCAGTCAGCCAAGGATAAGATATAAGGATAAGGATAGGGATCGGGATGGGAGTGCGGATGCTGGATAGGGATGCAAGGGGCAGGGCTGGACATAGAGGGCTGGGGATACGGATAGGGATAGGGAGATGTAGGGATAGGGGTAGGGAGATGGAGACAAAAAGACAGGAGACAACGGGAAACAACAGGAGGCAACGGGAGACAACGCGAGACACGGGCGAAAACGGGAGACCACGGGAGACAACCTGTGACATTGCGAGACAACATGAGACAACGGGAGACAACGGGAGACAACGTGAAATAGTGGCGCCCCACCGATTCCTGATCACGGGACCCCAGATGTAGGGAAACCTTACAAACAAGCTGTTCAGGGAACTCTCGGAGTCACGCGCGGGGCTCCGAACGTGTATGTTTGTGCAGTTTGCTTCTGTTCGACCCTCTGTCTGTTCCTCCTCCTCCTCCTCCTCCTCCTCCTCCTCCTCCTCCTCCTCCTCCTCCTCCTCCCCCTCCTCCCCCTACTCGTCGTCCTGTCGTCTTTTTCCCCGTTATCATCATTTTCGCCCTCCTCCTCCTCCTCCTCCTCCTCCTCCTCCTCCTCCTCATCCTCGTCCACGTGCTCGTTGCTCCTCCTCCCTCCTCCTCCTCTCCTCTTCCTCCTCCTCCTCCTCCTCCTCCCCTCCTCCTCCTCCTCCTCCTCCCCTCCTCCTCCTTCCTCCTCATCCTCCTCCCCTTCCTCTCCCCTTCTCCTCCTCCTCCTCCTCCTCCTCCTCCTCCTCCTCCTCCTCCTCCTCCTCCTTCTCCTCCTCCTCCCTCCTGCCATGGCCGCTCCTTGAGCAGCTCCACGACGTTCTCGACCTCCGGGCGCGGCGGGGGGGCTTCCCAGCGGGGAGGGCAGGAGGGAAGAGGCAGCGCAGGAGAAGGCTGCCGAAGGAGGAGGAGGGAAAGGAGGAGGGGGAGTAGTTGGAAGGGGAGGAGGAGGAGAGGAGGAGGAGGGGAGGAGGAGGAGGAGGAGGACGAGGAGGAAGGAGGAGAGGAGGAGTTGGAAGGGGAGGAGGAGGAGGAGGAAGATGGAGGCGTAGTAGGAGGAAGAGGAGGATGGGAGAGGAGGGGAGGAGGAGAGGAGGGAAAGGAGGAGGAGGATGAGTAGGACGGAAGAGGAGAGGAGAGGAGGAGAGGAAGGAGGAAGGAGGAAGGAGGAAGAGGAGGAGGAGGAGGACGAGGAGCGCAAGCCTCCAAGATGACGACGACGACGACGACGACCACGACGACGGCGACGACGACGACGACGACGACGACGACGACGAGTCATCCCAGACCAGCGAAAGTGGCCCGCCTCGGCGCCGAAGTTGCTTCACGCAGGCCGCCGCACGGGTACCCAGCCGCCAGCCCCCCCCATAGGGTGCTACCCGCTGCTGACACCCAAGAGGATAGCACTGATGATTAATGTCCGGATAGAGGACGCCATGCACTAAGACAGGAGACCGAGGAGGGGGAGGAGGAGGAGGAGGAGGAGGAGGAGGAGGAGGAGGAGGAGGAGGAGGAGGAGGAGGAGGAGAAGGTGGAGGACGAGGGTAATGCTGAACGGATACCTAAATCAACGTTTCGGGATGAGGCGGCCGTGGGCCAAATACTGGAAACTGTGGGGCGATTCGGTGGAAATCCGCGCTGCCGAATGGCAGATAAAGAAACAAAAAGTAACAATAGTGGGGAGACGAATGCGACTAACAAGTCTGACAATCAGAACGAATAACACCAATAATTAAAATATTCATACTGGCACCGACAACAGCAACAATGTTGATGCCACGAATGCTTAAATTTAGAACAAACGTAAGCTAGGAGTAGTGATATTTACGGTACATATCAAGTACTAATGATAATGATGAAAATAAAATAATAATGATAATAATAATGATTAATATAATAATAATAATAATACGAATAATAATAATAATACAAATACTAATAATAATCATAATGGTGATGATAATAATAATAATAATAATAATGATAATAATGATGCTTATTATGATGATAATAATAGCAATATGAAACATGATCGACACACGAACCCGGAAAGGAATATAGAACTGTAACACATGGCAGCGTGTTCAAGACACCTGATTGGGTGACGGGCAAATGCAATGCTGAGTGTATCGACTTGATGTACCCTGCCGAGGGCT